AACAAATCAAGCGAAGCCTTGAGGGGAATGGATAACAAACTTGAGATCAGAGATGACGGAGTCTATTGTTTCATGGACCGAATTTGGACCCCAAAGTTCGGAGGATTTAGGGAAGTTGTCATGGAGGAAGCACACAAGACTAGATACTCTGTTCACCCAGGTTCGTATAAGATGTACCTAGATCTCAAGAACAATACTGGTGGCCGAACATGAAAGTCGAGATCGCTACATTTGTGGGCAAGTGTCTGACTTGCGCCGAAGTGAAAGTCGAATACCAGAAACCCTCGGGTCTGCTCCAGCAACCCGAGATACCTGAGTGGAAATGTGAGATGATTACTATGGATTTCATCACCAAGTTACCCAAGTGTCCGAGTGGGTACGACACCATATGGGTAATTGTCGATCGTTTGACAAAATCCGCTCACTTCATCCCAATTAAAGAATCGTTCAAGATGGAAAGACTTGGGCGGATCTACATCTAGGAGGTAGTCCGACTGCATGGTGTACCTGTGTCCATTATCTCTGATCGAGATAGCAGGTTTACCTCCAGATTTTGGCAGTCTCTTCAGAAGTCTCTTGGAACCAAACTAGACATGAGCACGGCCTATCACCCTCAGACCGACGGATATAGTGAGAGAACTATCCAAACCCTAGAAGATATGCTTAGGGCATGTGTCATCAATTTCGGAAAGTCGTGGGACGTACATTTGCCTTTGATCGAGCTCTCGTACAACAATAGTTACCACACCAGAATCAAGGCTACTCCATTTGAAGCCCTCTACGGTCGCAAGTGCAGATCCCCTCTATGATGGGCCGAGGTAAGGGACACGCAACTAGCCAAGAGTTGATTCCCCGACAGTGCTCTCACTGGTCCTGAAATTATTCGCGAAACCACCGAAAAGACCATCCAAATCCGGGAACGATTGAAAGCTTCACGATATTGCCAAAAGAGTTACGCTGATATACGACGGAAACCTCTGGAGTTCCAGGTTGGAGACCGTGTCCTGTTGCAGGTCTCGTCCTGGAAAGGCATGGTACGCTTCGGAAAGTGTGGGAAACTTAATCCGAGGTACATTGGACCCTTCGAGAACCTCACTAGGATCGGTCCGGTAGCCTATAAACTTCGATTACCTCACGAGCTTAGCAACATCCATCCTGTCTTCCACGTCTCGGACCTTAAAAATTGCTTATCCGATGAAACCCTCTTGATTCCCCTAAATGAGATCGAGATCAATGAAAACTTGAACTTCGTGGAGGAACCAATCGAAATCATGGATCGAGAGATCAAACGCACGAAACAAAGTCGCATCCCGATAGTGAAGGTTCGCTGGAATGCCAAGCGGGGACCGGAATTCACATGGGAGTGTCAAGACTCGATGAAACAGAAGTATCCGCATCTCTTCCCAGATCCATGAATTGTATCTTAATTCTGAATTTCGGGAAGAAATTCCCTCTAACAGGGGGATAATGTGACAACCCGAATTTCGTTCCATCATTTGTAACTCTTTCCGTTAACACATTCGTCATTTTCAATTTCATTTCCGTTTACGTTATTTAATTTAAGTCATAAATTTGAGATTTCTATTATGACTTAATGGGTGTCTAAACATGTTTAGAACTCATAATAACACTCCATATTAGTAATCGGAAAAATTTTAGAATCGACCATATCGAGTTACAGCAACTTAATCGGGTGCGACCAAAAGCCACGTCTAACATCGGTATCGAGTAGAATTCCACCGTGTCCCGAACTTGGAACATATTTAAAGTGGTTTAAGCTTCCATTTGAAGCTTTTGCTCTCTCTCACTACTCTCTCTCTCTAACCTCTCTCCTCAATCCAAACTTAAGGTCCAAAATCATCAAATTTAAGCTCCATTTCATCAAGGAACCTCGCGCGTTATCAAGCCCCGAACCAACACATCGCATCCAAACCGACACGTTTTCTCGTCTGGTGAATTCATACCCCTACCATTCAGGGGGAATACAAGCAAAGTACAAGGAATACTTGTACTCAAAACTTGTTTTATATGTGTTGTGTTTCATATTACATATGCTTTTAACACTGACAATCGTAACAAACAATCATTTGAACTTGCAGAACACATTATCATATTATTTGTGAATAACATTATAAATTATTGTATTTTATATTTTCACAAATGGTTTCCCACATCATAACAGTTGAAAGCATAACATTTGAACTTTGAACATGAAACTTAGTATATTGTTTTGTCCTCGGTAACACTCCACAGAGATACGTGAGTGGAGGATCGTCATTTGATCTTTCTGTATTATTAATAGTAAATTTGTTATTCCTATAAATTGGAGACACGTCCTCGGAGAACACTCCACAGAGATATGCGAGTGGAGGACTGCCCCTGTAACCAGAATCTCTTAGATAGGGAGCGTGACTTGAGTGTATAGATCTATACGGGGCTGACTACCCCGCACCTGGCTGCTAGCTACAGCCGAACCGAAAGGTTCAAGGGTGACGAAAGTCATAAAGTGTGATGGACTACTTATTGCCATATCTAGTCTATCGTATGGTTATGGAACTCGCAATTTGGATAACAAATATTTACTATTTAGTAATAATGGATTCAGTAACTAGTTTACTTTGTAGTTATTAGTTTTATATACGTGTTAAAACTAATACATTTCAGTATACATCTTTACATTTTATTTCGGATTTGTAAACTAACATACACTCTACAAGGATAACCAGGTTTTCAGTATACATCTTTTACACTACATTTCGGATCGGTAACCAACTTTTAGGAAAATATGGGATTTTCCTAGGATAACAATTGAACATAACCAGAACTGTGTAACATAACAGATAACTAAACTTTACATAAAAAAATATGGGATTTTCTTGGGTCGTAACTTTTTCAGAAACCGAAAGGAACTCGTACATTTTTAGAAAACAAAACCGCTTATGAACTCACCAGCTTTATGCTGATTTTCAAACTGCTTGTATTATTAGGTCCGCATTAGACAGGTACCCGATGATCCTTTTGGCGAAGACGGAGTGCGTTGAAAACACGTCTTGCTCTTGTTCATATATATACATATGTATCACACTTGTACAACTTTACTTCTGAACAAATGTAAAATTTCATATGTAATGTAATGGTTGTTTACTTTGTTTACTATGTGCATTGGCTTTGATACTCAACGTGGCATCCGCCCCGAAAATGTTTCCGCCTTGGTTTTCGGGGTGTGACAGGTAGGGACTGGTGATGTATTATTTTAATTGGTTTTATATTGGAAAAAAAATAAAAAAGAAAAAAGAAAAAGATTTTAGCAAATAAAAACCCACCAATGAAGTTTCTCTCTCTTCTTTCGTCTCGTTATGTCTACGACGAGACATCCTTAGCAAGTGTTTTAACATTTTAATGGGAGTGGAGCTAACACTTTTAGCGAGTATGGAGGAGACAAGGGTGGCGAGACCACTCCCTCAAGCCTAAGAAATTAAAAGTAAGAGACTTGAAAGAGGCTAAGACTTACCATAAGTTTTATGTGTTACACTACCACCCATCTATCAATTTCCACATGCTCAAGATCTCTATATAAAATAAAATATACTTTAATATGTAAACTACTAAGTCATAGTGTGATAACTTACAAACATTTTACCACTAATCCAAAATAGAGTCTTATAACCGATCATATAATTGTATTTCTCTTAGACATTTTATCAAAAATCTTTAGACATGCATGGATGGTCAAAAAAGACTTAAGTTACCGACCCCTTTTTCCTACTCACATAAAGTGATTAATTACATATGAAGAAGAAAAATATCATTAAAGGTTCTAGTTTGAAGAACTAAGTGAGGTTACCAACCCCCTTTAACTAATGATAATTAGATTTAACAAATGCCTAAATCAACTTTATATGTAAAAAATAAAATGATTATTTCTTTTACAAAATCTTCAAACCTACAACTAAAAATCAAAATAAAAATATAATATTCATTCAAATATGGTTTCCAGATGTGATATAAAACCCGTTACCTTAATAAAACTGATATCGATAATAACATCAACACTTCGATTCTGAGCATTGATTGAAGCGTAACTGCTAAACATGCCTAAAAATCAAGAAAAAAACATAAAAATTCAACTATTTTAAAGAGTTCTATCCAAATTCAACCAATTCAAACAAAAAGATTACGAATTAAAATGATTTCAAATCAAATGTATGGGAAAATATGAATAAAAGAATGTCTCGTCTCCTTTTTCTTCCACTTTGTGTGTCTATGGGTTGAAGTTGTTTCCACCCCTTATTCATCCTTATGAAGAAAAAGACTTATGTAACTGATAACTCTGGTGCAACGATAGTTGGGAAAGAATGGCCTAAAAAGAAGCACGCACAATCGATGAACATTTACAAACATAATAATCGAGACTGAGAAATTAAAAAAAAAAAGGAAAAAAAAAACATAAAACAGATCGACATTTGCAGATTTAAACATAACATACCTAATATTCGAATATGGGAAATCAAATAAAATCATAAAATCGATGAGAAGGCGTCCACCTATCGGTTGAAAGGAGTACCGTTAAAACTCCTTTTGATATCACTACCATCCGTAAGAATCCCTAAGCTATCGACTGAACCCCGAAAAATATGGTATAACTCTGCAATTCACTTGTTTGGCCTAGCTAACTGATATGTTGCTTCCGGTAGAATGAAAAAACACAATTTCAAATTTCAAACAAAATTGAGAAGCACAGGAAATGAAGAACGGGGAGCAGTGTGTAGGTGTGCATATATCACCAAGAAAAAACACCACCATCACGATCTACACAACCAAATTAATTAATCGATATTAGAAAACCCTAATTTACTTACTTGGAGCGAAGAAATCCACAGATGAAAGAGACGAAGACGAAGAAGTAAAAAGGAGTCGGTGTAAGAAACTTCAAAGGCTTATTAGGAGACGGGAGGGGATTGATTTATGTAATCAACAAATCAGTGCGAGATTGTCGTGATATGCCAGCTTCTAAGGTTTTTAGAAAGAAGTGGTGACAGCCTTGCGAATACTCAGAATGATTTGGAATTGATTTCAAAATTTGAAGGGGGGGGGGTAAAAACGATATTTAACTTTGGAAGAAATGAGTGTTTTTGAAGGGACACATGGCAAATTAGTTTTGTTTATTAGATAGGGAGATATTTTTAAAAGCTTAGGACGAACAACAAAAAAAATGATCATTATTTTTATTATAGTTTTGTATTTTTAGATAAAAAAAAATTAGGCCCCTCCTCAACGCCCCATGTATTCATATGTAATTATGTAATTACATAAACCTTTTAAATGATTATTAAATGGTAGTAGTACCAATAAAACTTTAGTTAGATGTTAGCAACATAAGTCGTGAAGCAGAGAGGGGTTGGTACTATTCTTAATGTAATTTTATAGGGAAATTGCCATTAATAGACATTTTTTGGGGGTAATTTTAGAAAACAAACACAAAAAATCAAAATTTCAGGTATAGACATGGATTCCGCACAGATAAGCTCTGAGGGTTCTGCATAATCAATTTAATCTCTGAGAAATCGAGTGGCAAAAAAAATCTCAAGATCCATTCCGTGGAGCTACCTTTGATGAATGAAGTCATTCCGCAGAGGTAGCTCCGAGAAATTGATATATAGATTTTTTTTTTTCACATCAAATCTTCAGGGCTTATACTCATTCTCCAACTAATTATTAAAAATTATTATTGATAGTATGAAATTTTATTAACAATATTTATAATGAATGTAAGGTGGAAAAAAATTATATTTCAATCACAGATCTTTGCATAAAAGAATGATAGGTGGAAAAAAAATTGTGAAGATCAATTCTTCAGAGATACTTCCGCGGAATGGGTTCATTCCTCGAAGGTAGCTCCTCGGAATGGATCTTCAACTTCTTCTTTTTTTACCACATCGATTCGTCGAAGATCAAGTTGATTCTGCAGAGCCCTCAGAGCTCACCTCCCTGAAATCCATGTCTATATCCAAAATTTTGATTATTTTATCTATTTTTTGAAATTCTCTACCAAAAAATGGCTATTAATGGTAATTTCCCAATTTCATAAGCTCATATGATTGAATTTACATTTAGTGCATTCGTTGAATTTTGGACCTAATCATGCTACTAACTCTATTTAATCAACTTTTATTAATGTTGGTTATTAAAATTTAAAAGTATGACTCTCTTCATGAACTTTGATACAATAGTATACTATACCAAGGCATGTTTATCACGAATGGTCCTTATAGTATACTCATTATAATAAAACAAGTAAAGTGTTATACACTTGTATCTCATAATTTATAAAGGTGTTTTTACACGTTTTTTTTTTCTGATAAAACAACACCTTTATTACAACTTTATTCTCTTGTAATTTCATAATTTCATACCATGAAATTTAGGCCTTGATTAGATCGGTTTTTAATCTAAGTTTAAATTGGTTTAAGACTTATTAATTCTTACCGTTTAAATAAAAACACATATAAACAATTTCCTTTATTGTGGAAGAATTTAGAAAAATGAATTTATACTAAGAAGTTATTCTAAGTAAACAATAGAAAAAGAAGACCATACAACATTTTCTCTAGTTTTAGTCGAGCAAAATTAGTGGAAAAACACTCGAAGTTAAATAGTTTTCAAGAGGCCCTATTTGAAAAACAAAAATCCTTGAGGTTCATATTGTCAATCATTAAAAATTAAGGGACTCTGTGTGATAAAAACAGAAAAGTTTATTTGTTTTTCATCAGCTTTTGTTGACAAAATGGGCCCACGTCAGATCCAACATACACTCTCTTCCCTCGACCTTCCTCCCTCAATTTTAGCGGCAATCACTCGCCGGAGATTCTCCCCCCTCCGATCACCGGCTTAACTTTCTCATATACGGTGCTTCTTTCTTCGTATTTATAAATTAGTCGGCTTATTTATGTTGATAACAAATATCTTGACTATTAGTTGAGAATTAGGGTTTAAAATGTGCTGCACAGTTCTGAGTTTACTCTGTGAAAAGCTATAAACGAACTAAACTGATCACATTCATATCAATCTCTCTTCAGACAAACACATCCATATAAAAAATATGCCGGCGTGGAGGAGGAGAAAGGGCGGCGGTGTCGGCAATTCCAATAGAGCAACAACTTCAGAGCAGCAACTTTCCCCTAAAATTGACGGTGAATTCGAAGATCAGAAGAGCGAGAAAGAGAATATAACGAAGAACTCCAATAATAAAAGTATCAAAATTTTGAAAAAAGAGAGAAGTAAACGTTCTTGTATAAATAGTTGTTGTTGGTTGATCGGATTTATATGTTCAACTTGGTGGTTTTTGTTGTTTCTATACAATGCTATGCCGGCATCGTTCCCGCAATACGTGACGCAGGCGATAAGGGGGCCAACGCCGGATCCGCCGGGTGTAAAGTTGCATAAAGAAGGGCTAACGGCGAAGCATCCGGTTGTTTTTGTCCCCGGAATAGTCACCGGTGGACTTGAATTGTGGGAAGGTCACCCCTGTATGGATGGCTTGTTTCGAAAGCGACTTTGGGGTGGCACATTTGGTGAAGTATATAAAAGGTAATGTACTGAATTTTTCTCGTTTCTTTGATAATTTTCAATTTATTCAACGCAATTGGGGTTTCATCATTGCATTTAATGCATCTTTAAGCTCTAATCAAGTATCCCTCTTGATTCTTTTTTTCACAAGCTTCATGTTACTTTCTATATCATTTTCAGGCCATTATGCTGGATTGAGCATATGTCACTGGATAATGAAACTGGGTTGGATCCTCCTGGTATTCGGGTCAGACCCGTATCTGGACTTGTGGCAGCGGATTACTTCGCTGCAGGCTATTTTGTATGGGCAGTTTTGATCGCCAATTTAGCCAGAATAGGATACGAGGAGAAAAACATGTATATGGCTGCTTATGATTGGAGACTCTCATTTCAAAACACAGAGGTAAATAAATCAACAAATTTTCAAGCTTTAACCCATTTATATGAAAACGGGTCAATTACTAATATGATAAACAAAACAGGTTCGAGATCAAAGTCTAAGCAGGATGAAAAGCAATATCGAGCTCATGGTAGCAACAACCGGTGAAAAAGTGGTGGTGATTCCACATTCCATGGGTGCTTTGTACTTTTTACATTTCATGAAATGGGTAGAAGCGCCACCTCCGATGGGTGGTGGTGGTGGGTCGGATTGGTGTGATAAGCATATAAAGGCTGTGATGAATATAGGTGGACCATTTTTAGGGCTTCCAAAAATAGTCGCAGGGCTCTTTTCTGCTGAAGCTAAAGACATTGCTGTAGCCAGGTAATTGTTTACATTACAAAAATATTGGCAAATCCAAAATCCAAAATATAAATTTATTGATACAGGGCTGTGGCACCTGGTGTTCTTGATTTGGATATATTTGGATTTCAAACTTTACAACATGCAATGAAAATGACAAGAACATGGGATTCAACAATGTCGTTAATACCAAAAGGTGGAGACGCGATATGGGGTACACTTGATTGGGCTCCTGAAGCAGATCATGATTGTGTTGCTAAAAACCTTAAAAAAATGAACAATACTCAAACAAGAAGTGAAAATGGTTTCATGTCTTTGAATTATGGGAGAATAATCTCTTTTGGGAAAGATGTTGCTCAATTGCATTCATCAAAAATCGAGAGGGTGGATTTCAAGGTAATCTTTTTTATCTTTTATCCTGTTTCTTTTTTTATATTTGTATTTTAATTTTTTTTTTTTTTTTGGATGTGTAGGGTGCTATTGAGGGTGGTAATTATGTAAATAGATCGTGTGGGGATGTATGGAATGAATACCATGAAATGGGATTTGGAGGGATTAAAGCTGTTGTAGATTACAAGGCTTTTACTGTTGAATCTGTTTTAGAACTTTTGCAATATGTGGCTCCAAGGATGATGAAGCGTGGTAGTGCTCATTATTCATATGGAATAGCTGATAATCTAGAGGATAAAGAATATCAACACTATAAATATTGGTCAAATCCCTTAGAATCTAGGTTTGACTCTTTGACTCTCTTTACTCTTTACTTCCATGTCGCAAGAAATTAAACTACATTTCTATAATTGTTCTTTTCATCTATACACAGATTACCAAACGCACCCGAAATGGAAATCTTTTCAATGTATGGAGTCGGTCTCCCAACCGAAAGATCCTATATTTACAAATTCAGTCCGTCATCCGAATGCTATATTCCTTTCCAAATTGACACGTCAGCAGAGGGTGGGACCCACCAGACTTGTTTGCGGGGCGGGGTTTATTCGGTTGATGGAGATGAAACGGTCCCGGTTTTAAGTGCCGGGTACATGTGTGCAAAAGGTTGGAGGGGGAAAACACGTTTTAATCCCTCGGGGATTAAAACGTATGTAAGGGAATATAACCACGCCCCTCCGGCAACATTGCTGGAGGGACGTGGGACCCAGAGTGGAAACCATGTGGATATAATGGGGAATTTTGCTTTAATTGAAGATATTATACGGGTGGCAAGTGGAGCTACGGGAAATGATTTGGGAGGTGATCGAGTTTACTCTGATATTTTTAGATGGTCTGAAAGGATTAAGGTGCGGTTGTAGATGATGATGTGGAAATGAGGTTTTTGTGTTTGTTAATGTGTGTTATAATGTATTGTAGCTCTTAAGTTGGTTTAGATTGTAATTAGGTACAGTTTGAAGTGTTATTGTGAAAAAGGAATAGGTCATTAGTTTTGGTGTAGTTACATTTTTTTTTGGTTATTTTATGAATTAGTTATGGATACCTCATGCCTTAGTGTCATGAAGGAGTTGTTTTTTTTATTTAACCACATTTAATGTGACAACTGTATTGTTTATGTTTTACTTAATTGGAAATAGATCGACCGTTAAAAAAAAAAACAAAAAACAAAAAAACAAAACAAAAAAAAAAGGTAATTTCTACAAAAGTCATGAAAATTCAATTTTGACAATTTGTTATTTTTTATCTCAAATTGGATAGTGTGTTTTTCATTTTGTTACAATTCTGATCATTTGACCGTTTAACCCGGTTGTCTGTTGATGTGTCATAATAGCTTGTTGCTGATGTAGCATGCTGACGTGTCAAAATAAAAAAATAAAAAAATTGCACAAAAAACGTTAAGTTTTTATTTTTTTTTTTTCAGTTGTGACACTAAGTTTTAATTTTATGTTTCAATTTTGACATTCAATTTCTTTATTCCAAATTGAACATCATTTTTCTAATATTGTTTAGTGATGACCATTTTTCATTTGAAACTGTATAATTTCTTTTTTACTAAATATGAGAAACCATACATGGAAAATCAACACGCGTTAATACCATTTGCATTTGATACGGTCGGTTTCCTTACGCTGAATTCGGTGGAGCTTCTTAGTAGACTACAACGGATCATGCATAACAATGTTATATCGCCTAGATCTATGGATGTAGTCTTCAAAAGAATTGGTTTTACCATACAAAAGGGCTTAGCGGCGCAACTCGTTGTTCGTTTACCTTCTCATTCGTTGTACGATGATAACTAAAAGTAATAGTTCAATTTAAAAGCCATATTTTTTTGTATTAATTCAAGGTTTTTTACATTCAAACTATAATTTTATCTATAAATATGTATTAGTTATATTATAAGCATGTTTTCATTAAATACACCACTTTAAAATGAGTTTGGAGATATGTAGTACACAATCACATAAGCTCATGTGATCACGAGAATGCGAGGGTCCGGAGGTCGCTTTAATTACCAATGGACCGTTCATTATATATATACTAGTTTATAATCCGTGAGAACCACGGTTATAAAATTAATTAAATTTTTATATTAAAAAATTAATTTTATTAATCAATTATTTTAAAAAATTATTACTTAAGAAATATTTTTTTAGTTATATAAAGGGAATTATAATCAATGATTTAAATAAATATGTGAAGTTATATCACTATATAATCTATACTAATTTTATTTTATTTTCAATCTAATGTTATTAATTTAATATAATTAAAGTGAGAAAATTAAAATTTTGAAATTTAAAATGAGGAATCAATTATTAATTTAATGTAATTAGAGTGAAAATTTAAAATTGATAATTAATAGATTAACAAGTGGCATGATAGGTGGTATATAACATTAATGAGGAGTCGTAATTGTATGACACTTGTCAATAAGAGATTAAACTTATTCTTTTATTAGAATTAGAATATATATATATATATATATATATATATATATATATTCATTAATTTTTGTTTTTGCAGATATACTTGTTTTTCACTTTAACATTACTATGAAAAAATCTGCTCACAAAGAACATCAAACAAAACAAGGTATTCTATGTTTTTGAATTTTAGATTTTGCATAAAATCTAAATTAAGTTTTCTTGGATTATCCCGAATATGGTTTCGTGTTACTCCGTTATCATGTCATGTTAGGGCCACATAACTAACTACTGCATTCAAATATTGGTTATAATATAATTAATACATATTTATATATAACATTATGGTTTGAATGTAAAAAACTTTATATTTATATAAAAAAAATGATTTTTAAATGAAAAAAGTATTTATATGATTTCAAATGGAACAAAAAAATAATGTCCGAATTGGAACAAAAAAATGGAGTGTTACGTCATTAAAACTAAACAAAATTTGCTTAAAAGAGACGATCCATTTGGAACAAACAATTGATTGTCAAAATTAAAAATAAAAATAAAAACTTAGTATCAAAATTGAAAAAATAAAAACATAGTGTCTTTTGTGATATTTTTTTTCCAATTTTGACATGTCAGCATGCAATCGGGTTGATTAGTCAAACTGTCAGAATTATAACAAATTGAAAAATACAGTTTCCAATTTGAGACAAAAAATAACACAATGCTAAAATCGAATTTCTTTTAAACTTATTGACTTCTATAGAATTTACCCTAAAAAATGATGTGGAAAATTTTGATTTTATAATGTGAAAATGTTATAATAGCTCATCCAACTTATCACATTTGTTTTAAAAGGTCACATAACTATTGTTTTATACATTAAGGGAATGAAGTCACATATGACCGTTTTAAGATATCCTTATACCCTTGATAGCTGGTGTCAACGTAGAAGATGTCACGTATAAAACTTAAAAGTCAAAATTACGATTATTTTGACTTTTTTTCGTATGATAAAGCTCACATTGTCTTCTTTGCTTTCAGTTTCACACTCTTTTTCTATATATATTTTTTTGAAACAACTAACATTGCATTAAAAGAGAAACTCTAGCAAGGAGCTAGAGAGAACAAAAACTACAAAGAATTCAAGGGACATTGCAACCAACAAGTCCAATTAACAGAACACTTCCTATTTTTATTGATGAACTGTCAAAAAAAAAAACTCTAGAATAGAGTCTAAAATATCTCCTTGTTTCAACTTACCACTAGCAAAAACCTTATCATTTCTAAATCACCAAATGTACCACAAGGTAGTACCCACCACTGCATCAATAACATTCTTCTCTGTAGTTCTTAGCTGCAAAGAGTCCACATAATCGAAGATAGAAGTCACCAAAGAAAATTGACCACGTGTAACGTGGCAAACAAATTCATTTAAAGACTTCATACCATGTTCTAGCCGCCACCTCACATCTAATAAAAAGATGACTAGGTTGCTCTACTTCCGAATTACAAACTGGACAAAGCGTAGAAGAATCATCCACTCCCCGATGATCAAAATTAATAATAGTATGAAGCTTATCCATTCGAATACGCCATATCAAAATATTAACTTTCCAAGGAAGGTAATTATTCCACCTAGTTTTCAAATGAGTAAAAGGAAGAATGCAATTATTAATCTATCTTCTTATTTGAGAAACTTTAAACTCACCTGAAGAATCTAAATTCCACGTCCACCTATCAACCCGATCCGTAAGAGAAACATCCTTAAGAACAACCAACAACTCTTTAAATTGAGATTCTTCCTCGCCTCCTCTTATATCCTACCTCCACTACCAAGACCACCCAACACCCATTGTAACATCCTAAAAATACAGGCCAAAAATTTCATTTTTAATTACGTCATCTTAAAACCAACAGTGTAATAAAACATCTATAATATCATGTCATGTCAAAACCAAAGTAGAAATAATCAAACATGTTATCATAAAACAATATCAGAGTGTAATCCCAAAGATCTCTTGTGCGGAAAACCATAGTGTGATGCGTTGCGATCAATCTGGCTCCTTTCCTTTAAACACGAAGTACCTGAAACCAAAACTAAAACCGTAAGCACAAAGCTTAGTGAGTTCCCCCACCATACCACATACGATACAATCACTTAGCATACATATTGTCGGGTAATTCTGGGGTGCCCGACCTACCCGGTACGGCCATTCTGGGGTGCCGACCTACCCGTGTCAAGCCATTCTGGGGCGCTGACCTACCCATGTCAAGCCATTCTGGGGCGCTGACCTACCCATGTCAAGCCATTCTGGGGTGCTAACCTACCCGTCGGTCCTAACAACCGACCCTCGGGGACTATTCCACCCCCTACTGCTAGTATCACATATATCATAACATAAACATACTATCAGACATATCTGGGGTATCCGAACTACCCTTCGGTCCTAACAACCGAACTTTACTACTATCACATATAACATATCATGCGAACATATAATGTATCAGGTAGTAGCAAACCTAGATGATATCACAAAGACAATCATCTAACATACAACTCCTACTGGTGGGCCGACATTGTGGCCGTAGACCCACTGCTACTGGAAGGTAACTCACCTCACAATGTTGAAGTCCCAAAGACACAATCCCACACTTGCTGAAGTCCTGCAGACTCGACCCACCTCACACTGTTGAAGTCCCAAAGACACAATCCCACACTTGCTGAAGTCCTGCAGACTCGACCCCAGCTGCTGGCTAAAAGATTCCCGAACTGTCAACACCAAAATAACACCCAATTAATAATTGGGTCCCACTACATAACCATAAACACTTACTTTGGATAATTATATTACCCCAAGCTTGGCTTATTCAAGCCCAAGGCCCAATCCGTAGGCCCAAAGTCAACAAGGAATCAAAGTCCAACACATGGCCCAATTTTCCAAATTGGGCCTGGGCCTATACATGGTCTCATTCTAAGTCCCAACATCATATACTCATTAAGGCCCAAACTATGGCCCATCTATGGCCCAATTTTCCAAATTGGGCCCAAGCCCCTTACATGGGACTTACCCTAGGCCCATTAAATTATTCTAGTCTAATTGCTTGACTTTAGATGGCCCATTAATAACCCGATCATCAAAGCCCAAAAGGAAGGCCCAACAATAAACCCAAGTGAAATTAGGGTTTCACATAAAATGATGATTAGGGTTAAGTTTCCTACTTAACACATTAACGACTTAATCCATTAATGACTTAATCCATTAAGTCCATTATCGCTTAGATTAATCTTTGCCAAAGTTTATTATTTAATATTCCAAGTTATTAAATAATTCTCGTGTGTCTCGATTAATTCCCCAAAATTAGGGTTTTGATGGCGTTAAGGTTTTTAACCCAAATACTAGCCCATTTATTAATTTGTTGGCCTTTTATGTCAATTCGGGCTTTATGGGCCTATTAAGCCCACTAAAATATTATTAAGCCCATTAGCGTTTTATTGGGTCCAATAGAGTCCATTAAGCTTCATTAGGCCCATTAGAGCTCCTTTGAGCCTATTAGGGTTTCACTAAGCCCAAACGAATCAATCACAAGAGGCAAAGCGCACCACCACCCGACACGGCGGCCGGAGGCGGCAGCCACCACCCTAAGGTGGTGGTTTTCAAGTTCT